CTCGACCAGAGCATGACTCAGGTCGTTTGAGTCGACGTCCAATCTCACGATTGGATATCTTCTCGTGAATTCAGGCCAAAATTTCGATGCCAGTGAGATTGGAACACTTTGGCATGATGCGCGATAGACCAATTTACCATGATTTGCGCCACGACGTTGCCTTTAATTGGCCAAACCCCCACACCAATGTGATTTCAACCATCTTCCTATGTGTTAGCAAAGTCAAGCACACCGGCTGTATTGTACTGTTGACATTGCTCTTCGACATGCGCTCAAGCAGCGCTTCCTCGCAATATTGATCCTGGGATGCGCATCATTGAGACATCGTTGTGCGCTTTTTGCATTGGGCCTTGTCGTTCGTTGATGCTCTGACAATGAGAATTGGCGCTAAGTTAATCGGTAGGTCCAACCGAATAAATGTTTCGACCATTAGTTCTTCCAATAATCAAGATACACGGTCGAATTAACTTTCCATTGAATTTTCACCTATGAACCAGTGTGAATTCAGCCAATAACTCTCAACTTTGGCGGCCGCTTATGAACGAAGGCACTCGTCGCCAAACAAACACAAGTCCATTTAGTGTAGACAAGGTAAATGGACTCTAGTTAGTCCAAACAATTGGTTTTCAGTCGTCAACGGTAAATGTTATGTACTTCAAAGCGTACGCTAACTGCATTTCTTTGCTCCGTTTTTAAAGGAACGGCTTGCGACGAGCCACACTCCCATGAAACCCATGTTCTTGAAATCATGTACGCCGGCATATTGTAGAGTTCGAAACGTACATTTCGTGTAAGACTTGAAACGTTTCGCACTAAGAGTTGGCACTTAAACGTCGATTTTGTTTAACCGAGCAATAAAGCGGTACTGGGACGGACAGAATTCAACGCCCACCTTGTCTTCGAGTGAGATGGTGAGTTCTTCAATCCAATTAGTCACGGTGCTTCGATGTTCGAAATAAAATGTAGCCTATTCAGAAATTTAAAGATTTCAAGAGGCAATAAAATTCTACACAAACAAAGCGATCAAGGACCGCACTCAAAAATTTTCAAGCAACCGATTGAAGAGGTCATAAATACTCAGAGGTATAGAAGGCATAGTTTTAATGATACGATGGATCGGGATACAGCGTAAGCGTTCGACGCGATAGCGCTGTGGTTAACCATGTGGTGTGTCTTGAGTGTGCCCCGGTTCTAGTCCCGGGCGCGTCGAACTTTTTGAAAAATTAATTGTATAAAATTAACTCAGTGTACAGAATTTGTATATAATAAAAAAACAAATTGCATGAAAATACATTCAATTTACACGAAGTGCCTTGGCAAATGACTGCCAAATGACGTCAGGGACCATTTCCCGTGCAGCAATGGCGCGCAACACCATGGCCATTCGCTTCTGTCGAGCAGTTGGTGAGTACGGATCTTCATCATCGTCTCCTTCAAGCTGCTCCTCATACAACCACAAATTTCTTAGGTTGCGCTTGAATGGGGCCATCACCCCGACATCGAGGGGCTGACAAACCGAGGTTGAGTTCGGCGGCAGCGGGCACAGGTAAGACCCGAGTTCTTCTTGCACTATCTTGTATGATTCGTCCGAGACATGACTTTCGAAGTTGTCAATTGGAACCACCGAGGCTTCTTCGATCGACTCTCCAAGAACATCCCGCAGGTACTTCTTCCACACGACCGAATCCATCCAGGCATTTTCCTGCATGGCGTAGTGATGGCCACGAGGAAAGATAGGAAACTCCTTGGTTTCAATGCGCGCTCCAGGTACACCTTTCATGATGAGCAGTAGATGCAACTTGTGACCATCCGCGCATGCCGTCAGGACTGCCGTCATCCGCATCGAATTCTTCTCGCCCGAGGAGACTTTGGCATTTCCTCCGCGAGCCGACCAAATATGCGTTGGTGGTAGGTTGTAGTACATGCCAGTCTCGTCGACGTTGTACACACAGGTGGTCTCGTAGGAACGATACTCGCGATGGAAGTCACGGGCGAACTCGTCGCGGACTTCGGTCAGGGTCTGCTTGCGCTTGTTCTTCGTTTGACGTTGGCGGGAGAACCCATGGCGCTGGCAGAAGCGACGAAGAAGACGAAGCAAGGAGTCGTAGGCACGACAGCCTTTTTGGTCGCCATATACGACATGAGCCACTCACGCTGGTGGATCTTGATCCATGTGATCATGTGAGTAGTTGTTAGAGCACGCTCGTCATCTCTCATTTTGTTTATGAATCCTACTAAACCTGGAGGGTCTGGAAACTCCTCGTATCGTCCACCTGGTTCAATCTTCTTGTTTTTCTTATTGCCATCGAAGGCAAGGAGTTCAAATCTTTGAGCGTACCATGATCGGAGGGTTCGTCGCGGGATACCCTTTAACTTCGCCACCTCTCGACAAGATAAGGTCTCAAGTAGGCCAATAACCTCGAGCTTAGTTGAGATCGGTTACGACGCGCGACGCATAATTTGATGTTTGAATTTTTTTGAAAGCCAAGCGATTTCCCGCTGGCGCGAACAATTTTGATTCCACCAATTAGATTAAAGTATGCAAGATCTTAAATGTAATTGGATAAAAAGACATCCGATTCTAAAAAAACTTCGATGGGCGTTCCATTCCGTCCGTCCCAGTACTTAGGTTCTGTGGTAACACGTAAGCGACCAGAGCGAGGCTGAGTTGCAGTTGTTCCATGGGCTTGGTTACCTTTCACAATTGACTGAACGTTTGCTTTGCTTTACTTAGGCCCAAAAATCTTTGGCGATTTTTCCAAGGGACTGGCCATCAGCGTGGCTTGTACAAGGTCTCGCACATGTTGTGAGTGGTGTTATTTTTTCAGGTTCAGGGGACCTTCAGTTGGATTCGCCACTTTAGCAATCAGAGACGTATTGGAGACGTCAACTAAAAAAAGTTGTGATTTACCCCGTTAAAATTGGGCATGTATTCAATGTTTGGCGCACGCAGTAATTTAGGGTGTCGATGTTTGAGTCAATTTTCACGACGATTCTCGCGCCAACCTAGCGGGGAAAATTTTCAAGTCTGCTCTTGTTACTGTTGGCTTTCTCTTGTTTAAAAAGAATTCTCCGCATAACTGGAAATTTTTACTGTAGAAATGTGAACTATTGAAAAGTACGTCACCGTGTGACAACGTTTGACATCTACTGAAACCCCGAAACCTGTTGCGTCTCCACCTGACGGACCTCGCGAAGTCCGTATCCAAAGGCAAATCACGAAGTAGATTCCCCCCAGTGGCAAGCAGCCACTGGGGCTTAACCCTACCTTAATCAGACAGCAGATCCCAGCCGCTAGTCCAATTAGCCAAACGAATCGTCCGGCATACTACCCAAGGGAACTGAACTCTTGGGCTGCCTCTTGGGGGAAGCTCCGGGGTTCTGCGAATGGCAAATTCGCAACAAAACCCTGAAACCAGTACTGCAACTCCAAGCAACGAAATCCAACAGAAGGAACGCCGTGTTGGCTCTGCCCGACTCGACTCGCATCTTAAGGCAATCGGCGCGCTGTCGCATTGGCCATACCTGCCGTGGCACGAAGGATGAACAAAGCCCTGAGGATATTTAGCTTCATGCACCGGCACCTCGTTCCCTTCCTACCAACTGAAGGGAGTGTTTACTTCAACGATTCCTTCCAAACTGGCGGCGTAAACGACACGGCGGCATCCGCATCCGCGATTGTGCTGCCAAACAGGGTCATTTCAACAACAGAACCTACATGGAGGCCTGCTAAGGATTTGGCAATTAAGCGGGCGTACATGGTATTCCGCCCCCTCAGCGAGTTCGTTGCTATCAGGTGAAGCCGTCAATGGCACAGCCTTCGAACGGTGGCTTTGTTAGGTCTGTGACCATCGACAAGTAACAAGTTTGGTGGTCAAGCAATTATGTCCCCCTAGATGTCGTGCGACTGTGTTCGACACTGCACCAGGCGATGCGAGAAGCGCCATGAAGAGTCGGATGGCCAACACCCGCAGAGTCGCCCCATGGGCAACAAAGCTGTGCACATGTTGTAGTCGTCATGGAACGGTTCGATCCATCGCGTAGACCCCTGCATGTGGGGCCGCACCGTCCTACTTCTCTTTGCTCATAGGAATGACATCGTTGTGAATCGTGTACACGACTTGAGGACGCTGTGCTCGCGCCCGTCCCCGCTGCTTCCATGAATCAATGTTACCTAGTGGAGCAGACGCCGGGAGCCGACGACGACTGGCACCGGTACACTTCAGCATGTCGTATCACGCCGAGCCAAGGGTCAAGCACCTCACCCAGCCGCGTTCTACTCACTGACGTAGTCGTCTTTGTACCCCCCGCGTTCATGACGATCCATCCGTTGCAACTCGCAGTCGGACACAGTGACCTTCACTTACAAAATTACACGCCGCGTCAAAGAACCGGCGGCCGACCCAGCGCCGAACGATTACTTTGTAGCGGGTCGGCAACAACCTGCCACGCTGTCGTGGCTCGGCGTCAGCAACGCTGTATGCCAACAACGGCCTACGAGCGCCTTGGACAGAAACAAGAGGTTGGCATCGCACCCTCGAGGCATGCACTGCCTCCCATTACTAAATGCATCCTCCTACTTCGTCGTTGTCAGGACTTCACGGATCCGACTTGTCTTGCTTGAGCCACGCACAAAGACAATCCTCATGCTCCCAGTACATGGTGTAGAGGTTGTAAAACACCGAATCAATGGACCCACGCCGGTTGTACACCTCGGATCGCGCCATGTTCCACGGCTTACCAAACGTTCCATCGGGCGAGAAGTGATGGACGTATGTCTTGTGAATACGGTCGGCCTTGGACGCAAACGACCAGTTGGCATTGTCGTGGAGGGTGTAGGTAAGCACGACGTAGTTGTTGGGGAGGAATCCACAATGCAGCTTGTACAGGTCGTTCAGGACGTCCATGTCAAAGTAGTTGGGTCGCGGCGGATGCGCCATGGCGTCTTGAATCTCGTGGAAGACGGCGTTTGACGGCGTAAACACGAGCAGCGTCGACCCAAACACATAGTTTTCCTTGATGTAGTACGCGTGCGGCGCCCACAACACGGCGTCGCCGAGAAAGAAGAGGTGGTCCAAGTTCCGGTGAACCCACACGTCCGAGTCAAGGTAGATAACTTTGTCGTACCCGCGCTCTTCAAAGATGCGCAGCTTCGTGAGCGAGCGGAACCACTCGTCCGACTGGTCGACCCGCTCTTGCTTCCACGGGTCGATTGGAATGGCAACAATGTTGGCATCCGTGAGGCGCTGAATCACAGACGGAGGGACGTCGTTCCCCACGAGGGTTACGATCGGGATCGATGCCGGCGTCCCGAGCTTGCGGATGTTGCTCGCGAGAATGATCGCGTTGCACACTGTGCGGGCATCCGTCGCATACAGCATGTAGGCGAGCCGCAGGCGATTGCCATGGCTGTCCACAAGGAGCGTGGTGTTGGCGAGTTGGGCCTCCAACCCGATTGGGGACACGTGCGATTTCCCTTGGGACAGGACAACGGCGAACGAGTCCAGGAACAGGACGTTGAGTACGATGATGACGAGGATCACTATCGTGGCAACATACTTAATGTTGATCTGGCGTCCAACGCCCGGGGATGACGGTAACGACACGGCCAACATTGGATCGAGCTCAGCAGGCCGGTCCGCCATGCCACTTGGAACGGAGTTCTCGGTTGAGGTCTGCGCCATGTCCACGTCCAGGTGCGCCACTCTAATGTCGCTGCCACCCCCACTGACCTCTCATTGGAACGTTCAACTGAACGAACTTTCTCATATCCGGAATATTTGGAGCATTTCTTGCCATGAGCCTTTCTGTATATTTTGTCCAAAGTTTACTTCTGTTCAGTATGCAAATGGCGCATTTGGCGGTCACAACGCTGTCGATATAATTCTGGGTATTTTCGACCGCGCTCACAATCTGGGACACATCCTCCATGTCAGTAACGCGCCTTGGTGGCACATCAGCACACAAGTGAGGACGGAAAGGAATTGAACGAATGGCGTCGATGGGGTGTTTGTTGGTCGATACGACCGAGGGTGGCCGAAAGACGTGGGTGCGCGTGTGACCAACGTGTAAAATCCAACCGTTTCGATATTCTTGGCCAATCAATTCAACAGCAAACTATATAATGCTGGATTGCCCGGACGAAACATGCGGGTGGACGGTCGGGTTCTCCCTCGAAAACGACGCCTTGCACAATCTGCCGTGGCATGCGGTGGCAACAACAACGTCCGCCAGAAGTAGTGCTCAGGTTTCTCTGCGGCAGCGCATCTCAGAAACAACCAAGCCAAAGCAATGAACAGCCCCACCACTGGGTGGGTGGACACATTGCAGAAAAAGTGGAAAAATGATGAAATATTTTTCAAACTTCATAAATACATTCCACAACATGTATTGTATGCTAGCGGTTGTATTTAAAAACTATTCAAATTTTGGGATGTAGGAGTGGCTGGATTTCAACTTGTCCCCTTGCTTGATATTGCGTCCACGGTAGTGCGGGTGGAGGGGTCACAGCCACGCTTTGTTCACGAACTGCAGGAGCGAGCCTCGTAAACCATGCAACGCTGTGTCGTTAGCGATTAAACTTGCTTGGCATTTGTGTCGACGAGCTTGACCGTTTTGGTCGGGGTCGCGAGGGTTGCGTAGTCGTCACTGCCAAGGCTGCCGCTGTTGAGCGAAATTGTGTCGGCACCACGATTACTGTTCAACTCGGCCGACTGGAGGGGTGGAATCACGCCGTTCGTGCGGGTCGACAGGTCGTGCGAGCCGGCGCCGACCACGAACGTCCACAACTTGATCAAGCTGCGGATGAACATGGCGACAATGACAACACAGACGAGGATAACGACGACATACGCCAGCGTGAGCTTGGAGTCGATTGTCGTCGCCTTGGACATGGCGTACGATAGCCCGAAGACCGCCACAACCACGACTTCAAACACGATCGTGAACACGAGCTGCAACGTCGACACGAACGGGCGCAGGACGACCACCAGCACAATGTACGCGGCGTGTAGCGCCATGAGCAAGATGAGCTGCGTCGACGGCGCGACGACCCCCGCCAAGAGAACCCCCGTCGCGTACTGCAGCAGGAGCGCCGCGGCAAAGAACGCTCGGAACTCAAATTTGAAGTTGGTGTACAGAACGCCAAACGTGATCTTGGTGCGATACTTGCTCAGTTGCACCTCGGTGTGACGAAGAATCATGTAGCCCGCGGCGAGAATGCCCACACCGATGACAACGAGGGAGATGAGCGCAAACACGCCCGAGATCGAACCGAACCCAATTGCCGACGTGATGTCGCGCATGAGCTCATACATGGACACGGTCGAGAGCGGAAGGACCGCCATGGTGACAAACCACACGGTTATCCCCTGCAACCGACGGCTCGCATCTCTCAACGTCGACGTGTAGCTCCCCGAGTCGGACTGGGTGAACGGCGTGCGGCGGCCCGTGAACTGAGACACGGCCGCCGTCGCGATCACGAGCACGAGCAAACACACGAGCACGATGAAGAAGAACGTCCACGCGCGCAGGAACAGGTCGTTCTCCAACACGATCATGCGCAGGGAAAATTGGTAAAACCCAAACGCGTCGTACACGGAGCCCGTGGCTTCAAGGGCTCGATGGGACGACGTCAAGTCCGTGAGCAAGCTAGATGCGACAACAGCCGACGGCTTGCCCGAGTTGGCGGAACCGCGCACGATAAAGTTGAGCCACGAGAACGAGTCGGTGAACGAGGCAAAGATCGCATGGGGCGCTTCGACACTCGCACAGGACACGACGGCCACGAATTGCATGAACGACGCGAACGACGGGAGCTCCCACGAGTTGGGGGCGGTGAAAGCGCCAGTCGCTGACTCGGGGGCCAAGAACGACGGGTCAATGGCCAGGTAGTGGAAGAACGCAAGGAAGACGAGCGTGAGCCCGACGACGGCGTTGAACACATAACGATTTGTCTTGTTGCCGCTCGTGTCGGACCCAGCGACTGTGGCTTGTGACGGGTCGACGTCTGCCACGGTTGGCGCTGCTCCTGGCACGGGCGTCGTCCGAGGGGCCGAGCTAGGACGGGACGGGATCGGTGCGTCCGTGACCAAGTTGTTTCCCGACGGGGCGCCTCCTTCATTGGTCGGGGAAGGGGTTTTGTCAAAGATGTTGTCGCTGGACACCGTCGTGACGGGGGCATTCGTGCCGTTCAAGATCAGTAAGGTAGAATTCGAGAGTGGTTCCTCCGTCTTGGCCGTGACAACGGGCAAGTCCGTCGTGACTGGGATCGTCGTCGGCGCCTTGGTCGTGACGTCTGTGGTGGTTGTGGTTGGGGTGGCGGTGGGTTCAACTGTGACATCAGTTGGGACAGGTGCAGACGTCGTAGTCACGACAGGGGTCATTGTCGGCTCGGAGGTAGGTGCAGGTGTCGTCGTGACTACAGGTACAGTTGTCGTCGTTTCTACAGGGATGGTTGTCGGCTCGGAGGTAGGGGCAGTCGTTGCTGTTGGTGCAGGGGTAGGTGCAGGCGTTGTCGATGATGCAGGGGTGGTTGTCGGTTCTGGGGTAGGTTCAGCCGTTGCTGTTGGTGCAGGGGTGGGTGCCGGCGATGTTGTTGGTGGCGGAGTAGGCGCAGG